GTACTTTTGGCCAGCACCACATCCAGTGGCAATGAGTTCCACAGGTTAATTGTTCACTGAGTGAAAAAGTACTTCCTCTTGTCTGTATTAAACCTGCGGCCTATTAATTTCACTGGGTGTCTCCTGGATTTTATATTGTGGGAGAGGATAAATAACACTTCTCTAGTCACTTTTCCCACACCATTCATAATTTGATAGATCTCTATCCTATTCCCCCCTTAGTCGTTTCTTTTCTAAGATGAACAGTCCTAATCTTTTTTGTCTCTCCTCATATGGAAGCTGTTCCAGACCCTTGATCATCTTTGTTGCCCTTCTCTGAACCTAGTCCAGTTCCCCTACATCCTTTTTCAGAAGAGGTGCCCGGAACTGGACACAGAATTCAAGGTGTGAGTGTACCATGGATTTACATAGTAGCATGATATTTTTGATCCCATTCCTAATAGTTCCTGCATGCGGGGTAGTTGTGGCCATGTCAGTCCCAGGATGTCAGAGAGACAAGGTTGCTGAGGTCATGTCTTCTTATTGTGGAGCTGGGAGCACCTTTCCCAGACCTGAAGAAGAGCTCTGTGTGGCTCGAAAGCTCATCTCTCTCACCAGCAGTTGGTCCAGTAAAAGATATTACATCACCCATCTTGTCTCTCTAATCGTTCTTACCGTTCTATAGCAAGCTTACTTCAAAAGTCTAGATTGCTGGATTTTTTTGGCTTTAAGAAGATCTCAAGCAGCATTTTGCCCATCTAAATTTTGATTAATGTAGATGGAAATGTTTTTTTTATCTACCCCCCCCTCGGGTTAGTGAAATCGCCATTTACTGACACAAAGCTAATCCTTCAACGCCTCATTATAGGTGACCATTTCCTAGCTCCAACCTGGGACACCTCTAGGTATTAGACCTTCTCTTGACATGTCAAGAGGACTTGATCACAGAACAAAACATGGCTGGTCGCTGAGGTACAAATGAGCATGACTTGATCACATGTGTGATGTGCAAACAATACAGGGCCAATTTCACCAAACTGAAAACAACTAGGAGCTGGGAGGAAGAATTTAAAGAGCTAAAAGGCCTGCGATGCTACCCAAGGTTGTGGGGCATGTTGCTAGCAGTTGACCTTAGCGCAAGGAAACTTGGTCTGTGCCTGCCGGGAGCCGGTCCCACAACCCCAATGGCCATGAGCAGTGCTAGCTCTCCCCTCTCAGCCTACACAGTTCCGTTGTCCCTTAGTGGTAGACACACTCCAAGCGCCTGCTGGGGAGCGGGGTTGGATGCCAATCTGCGAGCGCATGCCGAGGCTCCCGGAAGCAGTGGCAAGTCCCCGCTCCAGCTCCTACACTGAGGGGCAGTCAGGGGGCTCTGTGTGCTGCTCCCGCCCCAAGCGCCACCCCTGCAGCTCCCATTGGCTGGGAGCTGCAGGGGCAGTGCCTGCGGACGGGGCAGTGCGCAGAGCTGCCTGGCCGCACCTCCGCATAGGAGCTGGAGGGGGGACCTGCCGCTGCTTCCAGGAGCTGCTTGAGGTAAAGCATCTACCGGAGCCTGCACCCCGACCCCCTCCTGCACCCCTGCCCCAGCCCGGAGCCCACTCCCACACCCTGAACTCATTTCTGGCCCCACCCCAGAGCCCACACCCCCAGCCAGAGCCCTAACCCCCTCCCGCACCCGAACCCCAATTTTGTGAGCATTCATAGTCCTCGAGTCAAAAAGTTTGCCCACCCCTGTTCTAGAGCCTAATGTACAGCGCCAAGCACAACGGGGTCCTGGCGCGTGGGCTGATTTAAGGAAACGATTCTTAAACTTGCTAGGATTAATGACCTGTCGTGTTAGCACAAGGCCTAGTGGGGGCAGTTATGCTGAAGGCTGAATACTTTAGATCTAAGGAGCTGACCTGCCCCAGGTCAGATATTTTGCACTCTCCTGAGCTACCAACAGACAACCATGAACTGCTCCAGTGCACCACAGGATTCTGCAAGGCGGGAGTGCTGGGGGCCTTTAGCAATTAGGTTGCCATGCAATGGCTAAGCCTTTAGACCACATTTACATACAGGAACTAAGAAATAAGTGATGCAAATCATGAATATTAATGCTTAATATTCTGGACTTCCCAAAAGCATCATATGGATCAAGCCAGCTGTTGACCTTATTATAATCAGGGTTAAAGATCAAATACGGTTCATAGCCGTGCTGTCACCACAAGAAAGGGTATAAAAGCCTCTTCCCACTTCCCATTTCTTTGGCTTTGTCGGATCCTCGAGACAGTGTAAACGGAATCAGGACCTCCCTTCTGGTTGGCACCGCTCTCTTCCCCCTCATCTCTGCTTCCAGCGGGCTCTGTAAGTTGTAAGTATGCGCAATGCAGGACTGGAAGTATGAGCCATGCCAGAGCCTACTTTACTGTGCTTATTCTAACCCTTCTGTGTATTGATCCTTGCCCAGGATATTGTCTGTATTAAATACCGTTTCTGGGTGTGTTTCACCAGCTTCTCAGTTAACTATAAACAGGGCCGGCTCCAACTTTTTTGCCGCCCCAAGTGGCGAAGAAATAAAAAAAGAAAAACCCGATTGAGCTGCCGCCGAAGAAGAAGGGGAGTGAAGGACCCGCTGCCGAATTGCCGCCGAAGACCTGGACGAGCCGCCCCAATGACGGATGGACGTGCCGCCCCTTTCTATTGGCCGCCCCAGGCACCTGCTTCCTTCGCAAGCAGAGGCAAGTAGCCGCCTAGGAAAAGAACCTGTTATCTGTGATTGGAGCACGTCACCCACCATACACAACCTGTGTAATCACTGTTCAGGCTGCCAGAGGCAGAGATAAGAGCGTTCTGCCTGGCCGATGCTGCCTTGAACCATGCGACCCTGGAAACCACTGTGGCTCTGTCTCCATCCCTTTGCTCTAAGTTCCTGGTGTGGGAGTGTGTGTGTGTGAGTGTGTGTGTGTGTGTGTCTCTCTCTCTCTGCAAAGGCCGGTTCTTCCCCCAGCCAGCTGGCACCTTTCCCCTCGGTTCTCCAGCTGGGGCTTTTGCCTGGCATCCCCGCAGAGAGGTGGGAAAATCCCCTTCCTCTTGCTTGTTGGTTGCTAGCCCGTTGTCTTTCCAGCTTCTTCATTGATCTGGGTCGGTTTCTGCCAGGCCTTTACTGACCCATTGGTTCCATCCCAGACAGCGGCATCACCTGACACCTCGAGTCTCTCGCTCTGCCCCAAGAACTGTTTATACACCGTGCAGAGCAATGTAAAGCAAAGAGGGAAACTGAGGCACGCCTACACCTATTACCAAAATTCCCTCTCCAATAGTGCTGGGCCAATTGAATCAGCTGGGGACCAGGGCCCATTGACTGCAAGGCAGTGATCTTGCTTTACGCCAGCTGGGGGTCTGGCCCCACAATTCCATGATGGGGATGAGTATTTATCTGGGCGCTAACTGCAGAGGCCCCATAAAGTTTCCTCAGGGTGTGTGGGATGTGCCAGCCCAGGGAGGTAACTTGCCAAGCTTTGATCTGAGCAGTGACTCACCCGCCCGGCGCTGCTTTCCGGCC